ACCACACCAGACAAGGGAACAATCTGATCATAGGATGGTAGGACCTGTAAATGTTGTGCTTTCAGTTGTTGCATGGCACAATAATGAAGTGGGCATAGAAAAATCGCTTGTATGCAGGGCCGGATTAACATAGGGGCTGATGGAGCTGCAGCTCCAGGCCCATGCCCATAGAATAGGCCCATTTAAAAAAAAAATTAAAAAATTTTTTACTTTTTTTTTTTTTTTTTTACACACTCCTCTTGGGTTTGCCACCTGACTGGTATTTTACCAGCACAGCCGTTATTTGAGGCTGCCTGGCCGTGCAGGTACTGCAGTAATACCGGCAATACAAATGCAGATATTTTTCTCAGTATAAACGGAGATTACTCTGGAATACCAGCACCAGCCAGTAGGAGTGTGTGGAGAGAGGCAGGGATAGGAACTTACAGCATATCCCTCCCTGCCTCTCTCTACTCACTGATCCGCAGGGGAGCAGCTACACAGCACAGAGATTTCAGACAGCAGTTCCCAGCCTGCAGAGACAGACTACAGCTCAGGGAAGTGAAGAATGGGGGGGAGGAGGAAGCAGGGAAACTTGGGGACACTAGGGGACACAGACACTAGGGGACGCTGTGAGACATTGGGAAGCTGAGACACATGGGAACGCTGTGAGACATAGGGACATTGGGAGACACATTGGGACATGGAGACACTAGGAACATAGTGTCTCCATGTCTCTCAGTGTCTTCATGTCTCCCAGCCAGTGTCCCTAGTGTCTCAGTGTCCCCATGTCCCCCAGTGTCCCTATGTCTCCCAGCCAGTGTCCCTAGTGTCTGTGTCCACATGTCTCCCAGAGTCCCCAAATTTGTCAGTGTCCCCATGTCTCCCAGTGTCCCCATGTCTCCCAGCCAATGTCCCTAGTGTCTCAGTGTCCCCACGGCTCCCAGTGTCCCCTACTCTTCCAGTGTCTGTGTCCCCATGTTTCTCAGTGTCCCCATGTCTCCCAGTGTCCCCAAATATCTGTCTCCCAGTGTCCACGTGTCTCCCAGCCAGTGTCCCTAGTGCCTCAGTGTCCCCATGTCTCCCAGCCAGTGTCCCTAGTGTCTGTGTCCCCAAATCCCCATATTTTTCAGTGTCCCCATGTCTCCCAGTGTCACCATGTCTATGTCCACAAGAGCCCCCATATGTCCCAGTGTCCCCAAGTGTCTGTGCCCCATGTCTCGCAGCCAGTGTCGCTTGTGTCTCAGTGTCCCCTAGTCTCCCAGTGTCCCCTAGTCTCCCAGTGTCTGTGTCCCCATGTCTCCCAGTGTCTGTGTCCCCATGTCTCCCAATATCTCCATGTCTCTCAGTGTCCCCATGTCTGTATCCACAAGTGCCCCCATGTCTCCCAGTGTCCCCTAGTCTCCCAGTGTCTGTGTCCCCATGTCTCCCAGTGTATGTGTCCCCATGTCTCCCAGTGTCTGTGTCCCCATGTCTCTGTGTCCCTAGTATCTGTGTCCCCATGTCTCCCAGTATCTCCATGTCTCCCAGTGTCCCCATGTCTGTATCCACAAGTGCCCCCATGTCTCCCAGTGTCCCCAAGTGTCTCAGTGTCCCCTGGTGTCTCAGTGCCCCTGGTGTCTCAGTGTCCCCATGTCTCACTGTGTCCACATGTCTCTCAGTGTCCCCTAGTATTCTAGTGACACGGGAAACACTGAGACATGGGGACACAGGGAGAAATGAGGACAATCAGACACTGGGAGACAAGGGGACTGGGCGACATGGGGACACTGACACTGTGATACATAGGGACACTGATGCCTGGCTGGCCTTCCAATTCTTTGGACAGACATGCCTCCTTTTCGGGCATGTTCGCCCCTTTTGGCAGTTCTGGTCACGTGATTCACATCAGTGGCTCACCCTTTTACCCCGCCCATTGACAATGGACACTGCTGTTAGGGGGTATAGATCTACTTGAAAGATGAAAGCATAAATTAGAGAGAGATTAACACAGAGTATGTGTTTTCTTATAGCTGCATCCTTTGAGTTTCCCTCCAATACCATCTCCATCAGATACATGATGTTTGGGAGGTAACACTGTTTTAATGTTTTTGGTCGATAAGATTCTGTAATTAGGCCCCATCATAACTGTCAGCACCAGGCCCACTGGGCACTTAATCTGGCCCTGCTTGTATGGAAGATGTATTCAAAGAGAGAGGGAGGAACCGCGCCTTAAATAGAATATACGTACATTTAGTGTAAGTTAAATAAATTAAGATAATTTGCACTCACATTTGGTAGAGCTAAACAGAAGCTCTACCTTAATTCGCATGGACGGCACAATCCCCGTCTAAGGATATGGGAGCAAATATCTTCAACACTCCAGTAGGACGGCAGTATAAGAGATAAAAAGAAACTCCAATAGTGTAGTATATTACAATCCAAATATGGAATAAAAGTAGATAAAAATGTGATACTCACATTTACTAGAGCAGAAACTTGCTCTAGTGTGTTAAGCTTACAGTGGTACAATCCCCACTGTAGGAAATGCAATAAAAACTTTCAAATAAAGGAATGTATATCACTCTAAAAGAAAACTATTTAATGACAACAATAAAAACAAAAGGCTATATAAAATATAACTTAACGACAAAACATCCATCCAGTCTACTTTTAACCAAGCACTATCAATTAACCAAAAAAACCTACTATCCAAGAAAAGAATAAAAAAACAAAATATATCCCTCCCGATCATATTAGATTATAATAATAAAAATAGAGAAAAATTATTAACAAACACTGGCACTTATTGAAAGAGGACACGATTCTGAATAATTTAATTCCAGAAAGACCTGTGACAGCGCAGCACTCTCGGTCTCCCTGGTGCAGCTAGGCAAACTGCTGGTGTTGCTTGGGGGGCAGAGGCCAGCGGCGCTCTGCCCTGCTGCCAGCTCTTCCACTGGGGTAACCCATGGTAAGTCAGGCTCTGATACAGGGGAAATGGGGGGGGCAGAGGCTAACACAGCTCTGCCCAGATGCCAGCTCTTCTGCTGGGAGGGGGTCAGTGGGTATCGCAGGCTCATCCACTGCCCCCAGGACCCGGTTGGGATGTAGCTGGGGAGGGGAAGTTTCGCTTACCTCCTCCTCCTGGCATCCCTGCGGGGTTGGTTGGGGATCTGGACCGCCCGTCCAGCCTCCCTGTATGACTGGCACAGAGACCGCGGTCCCATCTGTGCCAGTGTGGTTAGGTTTGTCTTCCCCCTCTCCCGGTATCTCTGGCTGCTGTTGGAGGGGGAGGCTGGTTGCCCCCACTCCCCAGGACGCTGGTTGCTGTAAGGTGGAGGGATCGACCATCACCTCCTCCTGGAACTCAGGCCGCCGCTGGGGAGAGAGACCAGTTGTCTCCCCTCCCTGTATATTATACTGCCGCTGGGGACCTGGGCTGAATGCCCAGCATCCCTGTAGGGCTGGCAGAGAGACTTCGGTCCCATCTCCATAGTTGTGGGGCTTAACATCTCCCCTTGGTGAGTTAGGCTGCCGCTGGAGAGAGGGTGTAACAAGCTCCTCTCTCTGAAATGTAGACTGCCGCTGGGGAGAGGCTGTAACCTGCTCCTCTCCCTGACACTCTCTTTGCTGGTGGAGAGGGGGACCAACTGTCTCCCCTTTCAATATTTTGTCCTGCGGCTGGGGTGCGAGACAGACGGTCTCTGCTTCCTGGGGTACACACTGCCACTGGGGAGGAAGGACGGCACCTTCAGCTCCCTGGGGTACACACTGCCACTGGGGAGGAAGGACGACACCTTTGGCTCCCTGGGATACACACGGCCACTGGGGAGGAAGGATGGCACCTTCTGCTCCCTGGGGTACACACTGCCGCTGGGGAGGAAGGACGACACCTTCAGCTCCCTGGGATACACACTGCCGCTGGGGAGGGAGGACGGCACCTTCTGCTCCCTGGGACACACACTGCCGCTGGGGAGGAAGGATGGCACCTTCTGCTCCCTGGGGTACACACTGCCGCTGGGGAGGAAGGATGGCACCTTCTGCTCCCTGGGGTACACACTGCTGCTGGGGAGGAAGGATGACACCTTTGGCTCCCTGGGACTCACACTGCCGCTGGGGAGGAAGGACGGCACCTTCAGCTCCCTGGGGTACACACTGCCGCTGGGGAGGAAGGACGACACCTTCAGCTCCCTGGGATACACACTGGCGCTGGGGAGGAAGGACGGCACCTTCAGCTCCCTGGGACACACACTGCCGCTGGGGAGGAAGGACGACACCTTCAGCTCCCTGTAACTCACTCTGTCGCTGGAGACGGGGGGGGCCAATACCCCCAAACTCCACAGTTGGTACTCGAAGTTCCGTGCGTCTTGGTTCTCAGCACTCAACTGGCGTATCACTTGATGGACCACCTCATCTGAAGGGTTTGGGCCAAACCAGACCAGCCGCGCCTTTAATTCCTTCATGAAATCAGCACCCTCATAGCACTGTGACAGGCGGATTTGCAATTCACTGGCTGCTGTCCAGGGTCTTGCTAGCTCCATGTTGCTGTAGGTAGGGACGCTGCGCAGAGGCTAGCGTTGCCCTCAATTATAAATCCGTAACTCCACACGTTACCGGTGTCTCCGAGCTGCTGGTCCTCGCACTAGGACGCCATCCCACCGCTGCCACCAAATGTGATGGAACGCTGGCACTCCGACTGAGTACCTCCGCCAATCGATGCTCCTAGCGCTTGCCGAGGACTCCAAGCACTCCAACTGACACCATCAGCACTGCAGACCCCACTTCCAGTGATGCAACTGCGCTGGGGTCTCTGCTGTCTCCACCCACCCTGGACCCAAGGCCAGGATCCAGCTTCCAGTGGGTGAACCTCTCTTTTCCCAGAGAGCAGGAACAAGCTCTTAGCAGAACTTAGTGATCATACCCTGGGGAGTATAGTGATTATAGCAATCCCCAGAGTGTATTTCTCCAATCCCCCAAACATGAGCCAAGGCTTAATGCTGGAACAAGACTGATTTACTGGCACACAGAACTCACAATTTATGCAACACAAAACTCCTCCTCTGGGCCAGGCTAGATAATTGAGTTTCTACAATACACAAAGCTCAATTATCTGCTGGCCAGATATTATACAGTTTCATAAAACACACAGGGACCCCAAAACATGCAATAACCCCATAAAAAAGTATATCCTTGGAACTGGGGGATCTGGGTGAACCACATATCCAAAATTCACCCAGATCCGTTCAGTACTTTGGAAAATACAGTTTAATGCAGATTCTGCAGAACATATACAGGCTAAATGAAAAACAATCACTGTATAATGTGTCCCCTGCTGTATAGTCCAAAACCACTGCACGATGTCTCTGTGCACCAAATACTAGCGAGATGGCACCGTGTTGAAAAGTCCAAACAGTGTCTGTGAGTTAAAATGGCCGCCATCCATTGTTCTCACCATGTGCTTCTGATACAGGAAATGGTGGCCACCCAGTAACTCCACAGTATGTCCCAGATGGTTCTTAAAGGGCCAGCAGCAGCACAACACAAATCCATTATGCCCAAATCATGTCTTTAAAGGGCAATACATCCCAGGGGCCATAGTCACAGGGCAAGAGGCGGGCAAGCAGTCCTCTCCAGGCACAAGTGGCGAAGGGCACTTCGTCACAAGACCTAAAATAGTATTTAAGGTAGCACCTAATCTAAAGATGCACCTCACTAAGAATTACACTAAGGTTAACAATAAGACTGTAGGTACTAATTTTATGAGTGGAACTAAAGGCTTTTATAAATGCACTACATGCGTAGCATGTAGAAAGACTAAACCCACACTAAAAATGAGATCCAACTTTAAATCAAATAACAATAACAAAACCTACAACATGAAAGAAATAATCACTTGTAATAGCAAAAATGTGGTATATTTGTTGGAGTGCCCCTGTGGCCTCCAATATATTGGACGCACTACAAGACCTCTAAAAGTACGAGTGGCCGAACACTGCAGAAATATAGAAAAGGGTTACAAAAACCACTCTGTTTCAGCCCATTTCTGCACTCACAATAATGATCCTGGAAATCTCACTTTTATGGGGATTGCCACTGTAAAAAATCATTGGAGAGGAGGTGATCATATTAGAAAAATTGGACGCACAGAGATGGAATGGGTATACCATATGAATACTTTACACACCGATGGGTTAAACATTGAATTCGATTTGTTCAATTTTATTTATTTTTTATATATAAATATGTACTCTGATTCCATCTCTGATTCTTCTTCTTTTTCAACACCTCATCAATCTCTTTATTTATTATATATTTTATGCTAGTTTATATGTAATAGCATTTATTTGTATACGTTATTATCTTTTTAATTATTACAATCCAGTTTCTTCTTTTTCAACACCTCATCCATTGTTCTATCTATTATATATTTTATGCTAGTTTATATGTAATAGCATCTATTTGTATATGTTATTATCTTTTTAATTATTATAATCCATTTTTTTAAGTATTTTTTATGCATGTTTTTGATTCTATTCTTGAATATTTTAGTAGTCATTCTTTGAAACGTTTTTGCATATACTAAGATTAGTATTGATTCATCTGTTCAATGTCTCTGCCCATTCTTTTGCCCTTTATCAATATGGCCAAACCTACTACTGGCCGAATTTGAGGACATTGTGTCTCCACCATATATAGACGCTAAGGACAAGTGTTCCCCAAGGAATTTGGAAGAAGTACAACAGTGAAATCAAGTTGGGTTGTTTATATTTAATGAAAGTTCTTCAGCTGAACAGAGAGACTTGAACATATACACACAACGCCATGTGTTCCATGCAGGAATGCAAAATTTTACGTCACTTCCGGCGCACTGAGCAGAGAAATTTGGACTTATATACAGGACGCCATATTGGGGCACGAAGCGTTCCATGCTGGAACGTAAAGCTTTGCCGTCCGTGGATACGCCGCGTCACTTCCGGTGTGCCGCGTGCGTTCGACAGTAGCTACGATTACACGTGGAGACGCCGCGCCGCTTCCGGGATGCCGCGTGCATCCCACGGCGGCAAAGGACCAAACACACCAGGAAATAATTGATTTTACTGTAAGTAACTTATATAAGGACTCTTTTGTGGACATTTTTTATACTTCTGAAGAAGCCTGATCGGCGAAACGCGTTAAGTTATATTTTATATAGCCTTTTGTTTTTATTATTGTCATTAAATAGTTTTCTTTTAGAGTGATATACATTCCTTTATTTGAAAGTTTTTATTGCATTTCCTGGTCCACAAATCCTACAGTGGGGATCGTACCACTGTAAGCTTAACACACTAGAGCAAGTTCTTCTCTAGTAAATGTGAGTATCACATTTTTATCTACTTTTATTCCATATTTGGATTGTAATATACTACACTATTGGAGTTTCTTTTTATCTCTTATACTGCCATCCTACTGGAGTGTTGAAGATATTTGCTCCCATATCCTTAGACGGGGATTGTGCCATCCATGCGAATTAAGGTAGAGCTCCTGTTTAGCTCTACCAAATGTGAGTGCAAATTATCTTAATTTATTTAAACATTTCTCTCAGTTTTCAAATATACTGCACCATTGTGTTTTCTCTCTATTTTTATTTTTTGAGTATATACAATACCTACTTAAAGTATCATACACTAAATGTACGTATATTCTATTTAAGGCGCGGTTCCTCCCTCTCTCTTTGAATACACTGTTTTCTAACAAGGTTGGGAATCCTTGCATTGGTTAATGCTGCCTACCAACTTTCTCTTTTGGAGTGAGCACCTAACACACCCTTTTTCTATATTTGTATGGAAGATGAGAGTAGATCCACAATGCAAACCAACCATCAATGGAGTACTGAAGACAACCACAACACTCAGCAAATCTCTTTCCAAATTAGTCTAATCTTGGCCATTGGCAGGCGTAGAACATAGTTCATGGAGTCAATGTGGAATCCCAGAAACTGCACAAATTGGGATGGGGTTAGTGCAGATTTTTTTGTAAGTGACCACAAATCCCAGAGATTCGAGAAAGCGCACGGTAAAGCACATCTGATAGCTTAGTCCTGATGCAGTTGTGCAGATAACAGGATATCGCCCAAGTAGATAAGAACCGTGGGTTCTCACGTAGGCTATGACTGGTTTGAGACGCTTGGTAAAGCACCAATGGGCAGAGCTCAAGCCAGAAGGGAAGCACGTAAACTTCACTATCCACATAAAAATTAAGAACTGGTGACTGTGGTGATGTATCGGAATCTCTGTGTCTATGAACCAATGTTGGTCTTTGGAAGTCCTGATTGGTAATGACCTCTGAAATGGCAGAGAAGAAAACTCTATGACAAACCCCTTTACGTTTGAAGAATCCAGGCATCTGAAGAAACCTGTGTCCACTGTTAAAAAAAAGGCCAAATTCTGCCTGCAATTTGTGATGACCTTAACCCCTTAAGGACACATGGCATGTGTGACATGTCATGATTCCCTTTTATTCCAGAAGTTTGGTCCTTAAGGGGTAAAGAAGCATTTAAGAGTTGAAGATTTACCGGCAAATCTTGCGTGTCTACATCCTCTGGTTCCAAGTTCTTTGTCAGATCCTTTGTCAGTAGAAGCTTGTTCCTGAGAAAATCTCTGGAAAGAAGGATAAAGATTGAGTAGTTCAGGGACCTGATGTCCTGAAACGCCTGGTTGCCAACAAGCCCTTCCAAAAACACCCCTTTCAGGGGGGATTTAAAACGTTTGGGTCTTGTTAAGAGATATAAACAAACTGACATGTTTGTTAAGTTCTTTTATAAAGATGCCACCAAAAAGCACACCCTTGGTTTGCGAACCTGGTTCTTTTGTTCCCAAATTCAGAGAGCTTAGCATCCATGCACAGCAGAGCAGCCTTCCGGTGGATAGAGCAAAATTAGTGTGGCCAAGCAAACAAAAACATCCCATTCCCAATTCCCAAAATGGTGTGAACATCTTGTTGTGTGCCCTTAAATAGCGCTTCATTAACAAGGTACAAAACCTGGGCCAGCGGTCCTGTACTGTCCAGGGGCTTGTCTTGTGTTGCAGCCATTTCTGGCCATAAACAATAATGGTCACATCAAACTCTGGGGTTTGTTTCACTTTGTCAGGTAAAGCCAGTCTTGTGCATCCTGCCTTCAGACAGTTTCTCACCTCCTTTCCTAATTGCTTACATAACCAAAAATGCATAAAGCATGCCAAATGAGTGTGTGGCACCCAGTCAACCAACTGGGATGTCTGATTCTTCTCACGTCTAATGAAGCATTGCTCATTGTGTCATGAAGAAGCCCTACTGATCTATTTGGGAGGGGTTGCCAGAGATCTCTTTTGACTCTCTGTGGGGCTCTCCCACAAAAGTTTCCTTGATGTAGTCATTTGAAATTGCACCCTTGTCTTGTAGAATGTCTTCGTCAGAAGCCTCCCTATGCGTCTGCCATTCATCTAGAACAGAGAATGTGTGCGGTAATTCCCCTATGTGCTCCTCCGAGAAATAAATGGGAAGGTGCATCAGGACTGGTTCTGATCGTTGCTTAGGTTGCTTCAGCTTTCCTTTTAAATTTTCATGGTCTCGGGGCTTCTTTCTTGGAGCCATCAGATTTATCAGATCCCTTTTCATTTTTAGAATGCAGCAGAAGGAACAGACCAAAACAGGGAGTTCACGCCAACTGATGGAGGCTTAATTCTGCACTTACTGTTGTATGTAGGCAGATGTGAAGGAGAGGTCTCCCAAAGAAGTTTATTTGCAGCTGCCTGTACTGTCAGCAGACAAACACCAACTCTGAATGCGCAGATTGAGCGATTCCAAAATGGCCACGAGAGTCTAGCAAGATTCAAGACTCGAGATAGCCATTGCAATGACCATGGAAAAATGTTGCCGGCCCGACAGAGCTGTGAGGGGAGAGTGGGATCAGCCTAGAATAAATGTCTGGGTGCTCAGAGTGGGATCAGGGTGTCAGAGTGGGATCAGCTCAAGAAAATGTGAATTGGGACTGGAAAGTAAATCGGACGCAAATCGCTGGAGAAGTAAGCCATATTCACACCAGCGCACCCAGCCAGCAGCTGCATGTAGGGGACCAGGGCCGGTGCAAGGATTTTTGCCGTCCTAGGCAAAAAAAAGATTTGCCGCCCCCTCCCGGAACATCGCAATGCCCCACCCATATGAACTATTGCCAGTGCTGCACACAGTGTGTGTTTACATTACTTTATTAAGCTGCAGTGGTTCTGGGGACTATAGTGTGCATTTAATGTGAGGTAAATTAGAGATTAGTGTCACTAATAATATACTAGATTGCCTACTTACAATCAGATGAGGATGGTGATGGGCTCTGGCTGCAGTCTGGCTCCACTGGTCTGGTGTAGAACAGGATCTCTGGAGGCTGTTTGTAACTGTGGTCACAAAATTCAATCTTCTGGGAGAACGGGAAGCAGCTCCATTTTTTTGGGGCCTCTTACATAGCTCAAGGTCTGGGCCCCAGGGCCTGACGGTGAGTATGCCCATAAAGCCCACCCATAAGTCCACCTACATGTTCCACCCACGAGTTCGCTCACAGGGAGTGGAATGTGTAGGGGATGTGTTATGTGTTACTGTAGAGGATCTAATGTGTGCTTATGGAATGTAGTGTATAGGGATACCAGTTTGTGTAGGTGATGCAGTGTGTATGTAGTGGAAGCACTGTGTTTTTGTGTAAGGGATAGAAAGCAGTGAGTGTTTGTGTATAAGGGATGTATTGTGTGTTTCTTGTTGTGTGTAAGGTATGCATTGTGTGAATCTGTGTTTGTATGCATAAGGGATGCAAAGTGTGTTTCTGTGTATGTAAGGGATGCAGTGTGTGTGTCTGTAAGGGGTGCGTTGAGTGTGTGTATGAGATGCATTGTGTTTCTGTGTGTGTAAGAGAAGCAGTGTGTGTTTCTGTGTATATGTGCAAAGGATGCATTGTCTTTATGTGTAAGGGTTGCATTGTGTGTTTCTTTGTGTGTAAGGGATGCATTGTGTGTGTGTGTGTGTATGTGCGCACGGTGTGAAAGAGCTCCCTGTTCCCCTGTCCTATAGAGCTCTCCCTTCCATTCCTTAGAGATCTCCCCTGCCCCTTAGTGGTCTCTCCTCTCCCCCCCACCTCCCTTAGTGGTCTCCTTTTCTCCCCGACTTTCCATTAGTGGTCTCTCCTCTCCCCCCACCCTTCCCTAGTGGTCTATCCTCCACCCCCTCCCTTAGCGGTCTCTCCTCACACCCCTCCCCTAGTGGTCTCTCCACCGCCCCCTCCCTCCTTTAGTGGTCTCTCCCTCCCCTACGTTCTCATCTCCCACCCCTTGTGTTCTCCTCTTATTTCCCCCCTCCCTGTGTTTTCCTCTTATTCCCCCCTCCCTGTGTTCTCCTCTTCTTCTCCTCCCTGTAATCTTCTCTTCTTCTCCTCCCTGTAATCTTCTCTTCTTCTCCCCCCTTCCCTCCCTGTAATCGCTGCTTCTCCCCCCGTAATCTTCTCTTCTTCTCCCCCCATAATCTTCTCTTCTTCTCCCCCCCAATCTTCTCCCCCCTCCCATCAATCATCTCCCCCCCACTTCCCTCCCATCAATCATCTCCCCCCCTCCTTCCCCCATAAATCATCCCTCCCCTCCCCCATCAATCATCTCCCCATCAATCACATTTCCCCCTCCCTCCCATCAAATCATCTCCCCCTCCCATCAATCATCTCCCCCCATCAATCATCTCCCCCCTCCCATCAGGTCTCCCCCCAATCTCCCCCTCTTCCCGTAATTATCTCCCCCATCAATCATCTCCCCCCCTCCCTCCCTTCCTCCCATCTTTTTCTCCTCACCTCCCCTGCCCTGTAGCGTGGCCGAGCTCCTTTCCGGTCCGCGACCCGGCAGGACTGACAGGAAGTGCACACTCAGTCCTGCCGGGTCGCGGACCAGAAAGGAGCAATTGTATGAAAAATGTGAATATACCTCCACTCACCTATGCAAACAAATGATAACTTTATCAAACACACACTACAGTGAGTTAATAAATCAAACCAGTAATACACTGACATATGTGAACAGTGTTGCCAAATCCTCCACAAAAATCCTACTCAATTG